AGTAGTGGTAGCAGTAGCAGTAGTCGCAGCAGCAGGTAGTAGTAGCAGCAGTAGTTTCCTTTTGTTTTGAAGTTGCTTCGGGTCGGTGCATGATGGCGTAGTCCAGGAGGGCCCAAGCACGCGAACCACGTCTGAGACGGAGTCTGTGTCCTTGCCGGGTGAGCGCAGGTGCATCTGCTGAAAAATTACAGCCTTGCACTGCATCGAGCCAGGTCACTCAAACCGATCTTTTTTCCGCGTGGAGCTCAAATCGCAAACAGTTTCTGTTGGCATGAACTGTGCGCCGTTGTGAACACCGGGCAATGTAAAGAGAAACAGTTGAGGACGGACCTTCCCCTGCGTGGGGGGTGTCCGGAGAGCAGTTTCGATGCTGATGATTGAACACCATGGAGTATCTAGAGTATGTCAGTATGTCACAGTATCGGTTGTTGCACTTCGATCATCAGCAGAAGGCCGCTTCCCTTTTGCTGGTGGCATTTGGCCGCTTGAGGACGGCTCTAAGCCTGGGTTCCTAAGGAACCTGAGCTATGCACTCGTGGATATGAGAATGAAGCAAATTACGAGCAGATCAGATTGTGGCCGTACAGCCTCCGGCTCTGTCCAAGGCCGAGTGTAAGACGAGCTGATGATGACGATGCAGCCGCTGCACGAAGGCCATGTCTGATGTGCCTCTAGCCCGACTGGCTCCGACATCTCAGAAGTGATGCTAGCATGCACGCCTGCGCAAGGGTGCAGAGGCAAGGGTGTCACCTGGGAGCACGAGCCTCCTTCCGCCGTCGGCCGGCAGAGCAGAAAGAGTTTGTGCCGTCTGCAACTTCAGCCGAAACTTTCGCTTTGTAAGCGAGCCAGGGAATTGAAGGCCACTGTAGTCAGCATCCCACGGTCCAACCATGCAGCGAGGTCCTAGACCCAAGCAAGTGTCTAGGCACCGGTGAAATCCAGCCTCGGGCCAGGCCCTTGCGGTGAAGCTTTGGAGAGACCAGTCGGAGGCGGCCGGGCCCATGTCTTTGTAATTCCGACGTGTCCATGTTCGCCTTGAAGGCGGATGTTAAGCTCCTTGCTGCTGCCGTGCAACGATATGGGCCTTTTCACGCCGGAACCAGCCCACAAAATTGCGCTAAATTGGGATGGGACTGTCCGACCCAATCGGACAGCGCGGCATGTGGGGGTCGACACTGCAGGCAGAATTTGGTAAATGGAATGGGGCAGATGTGGGGTTCTTTCACATCAGTGTTGGCGTGTCATGCAGGCAGAGCTCCTGGCCGCCCGAGGCGATACCAGGCAAATTCAGCACGCTTCGAATGCGACCTTGGTCCTGGTTTGGTTCGGAGATTCTTTCGGAGATTCGATCATTACCACGATGGCATCGACTCGTGCACGGATGTGATTTCCAAGGCGCACAGCGGCACATGGGGTTTGTTTGCAGCATCGACTCTTCGCTACTCTCCCTGGGTGCTATCTGGCTTGGACATGCTATCGTTGAACATGCACATGCAGCATGTCACCAGGGCATGATCACCCCGGAGCTGTCGCGCGCTCCATCAAGACACTTCTGTCAAGAACGTGAACCTTCTGCGCTTCGCACACCTGCGTGTGCTTAAATGATGTTCCGATGCGAGTGATCGGTTCAACCCCCTTGCTTGCCAGGCAGCTCCGCAACGTCTCCATAGAAGAGGGTCGGGAGGTTGGCCCAGATAAGCAACAGCCAATAGTTTTGCAAGTTCTTGGCGTTGAGGGTCAAGCTTGCTTTCGAGTTCAGTTTCGCAGACTGCGCTGTGAGGAGTACTCGCACGCTTCTGATCCGAACGAGAGAGCAGTGCACAAGTGCATGCATGTGGAGTATGAGGTACCAAGAAACATGTGTTGTCTTCGGATTCGATGTCTATTCTCAAGTGTTGTCCGTCATAACATACGATCATGGTTGCACCGTTGGTGCCTTTATTGACCTCCGTGCGCCAGTGCCCTTCCATACAAAGACTTCTGACTTGTTTTGATTACTGTATGAAGATATGACAGCCATGATGGCTGTGCTGTAGTTGGAGGACTACGCTACAGATACGTGCGCCAGACGTATCACAATGTTGTTCCGCGGTGGTTGCCACAAGATGAGTCAGCAAGTCGCCAGTATTGAGTGGTAAGTAACACTTCAGTGGTACGTCAAAATAAAAGAGAATGAATATATGTATACATATACATGCATGTACTATGGCGAGTGGCTGTAAACTTTGTGATGTTGGCTGCATTGGCAGTATGATCTCTCGTGCGTAGGAGCTAGATCGAGACTCACGCACTTCTGAAATAAGCGCCATCCCTGTGGATGCGCCGGGGCTACGCACTACTTCCATGATTGTGATCGTGTTGGAATAAATTTGACTTTGGGATCACAGCTATGTTTATTCTCATTGTCGGTCATTAGTCGGTATGAGATTTTGGATCAGCCTCGAGGCCGACCGCCACCCATTCGAGGGCATCGGTGCCCTTAGCGCGGGTGCATCCTCGAGGCTACTCCAGGACAGCTGGAGTCTGTTGTTCTGCAATTTCTAGAAGTGGAGGTACAGCGCCAAAGTACGTTTGGAAGGGTTGCAGTTTCTCGGGATGATGCCCACTAATTGAACTAATGACCAGTGGTTTTGGCTACCGTTTTGAGGGGTTGAGTGCTGCCGGCGGCGCCTGCCGAGTCTTCTGTGTGTGCGACGTAGTTGCTGCTGTGCTGGTCGTGGAGAATAGTCTGCCTGTTGAATCTGAGTCCAGGATTATCCCGCGGCGCAAAAGGAAGTGATCCTGGACTTGCTGTTCAAGCCACAGTAAGCCCTCATGCCGGTCAGAATTTGGGCGCGGTGAGATGGTTATCAGTGGTGTTCGTTCAGTTCAAGCTGCATCGAAAGCTTGCTGTTGGTTTGCAGGTGTCCAAGAGCAGCACGATGCGTCATGCAGCGTCTTAGTGAACTCCGACTGCTCAAGACACTGTGAAACTGCAAACGTCACGCTAGTATGACAGTATGAGAAAGACAGTTTTTCTGGAGCCGAGTTCAGGTACGGTGCTTCGCTCCAGATACTGAAGGTTGAAATCGGCGCGGACACGCAGCACCGGACCGAGCCAAACAAAGGGACGGGTCCTGCAATGTCCGAGCCTTCTAGGAAAGTTTCATGGATCGTTTATTCATGCGGTCGCAGTCGATTGCTCGGGTGATTGCATTCTCAGACCCACTCTATGTTATGAGCCTGAGTTATTCCTGAATGGCTCGACCAGCTTTGCATTGTTGTTCCAAGAACGTAACGACGAAGAAGAAGAAGGATAGGCGTCGGAACGACAAACTCATTGGTCATCATGACGCGACGAGCTCAGCTAGGCCTCGTGATTTTGCGGACGCGCCCGATGGCTTCTCCAACAACCAACAGACTGCTTGTGACGGAGGAGAAGCAGCGCCAAGGCAGGATAAGTCAAGTCGAGACAGACTGACCTTGGTTTAGGCGAGAGGCAGTATCATGATGGACGACCGAAACAGTTGCAGATACGAAGGCGGGCTAGCTAGCTGCAGGTCGAGGCCATCAGATAACGTCCAGTCAATCTACATACGCCACTTCTGGGCAACAGACTGCCTGGACACGTCTAATCCAAAGCCGCAATGGCCTTGGAAGAAACAGGCTAGAGTTGGAGTTTTTTAGGCCTGCGCTGGATCCTGAACAAGGGCTTGCCAGGCATCCAGGCGGCCCGTGACTGGTATGACCCACCCTGAAACTACTGTAGCCGCTGAGGACAGTATTGATTTCAGACGAGCTGTGGTTTCGTGGACAAGGAGCAGTTTGGGACTCATTGGAGATAGTAGACTTTGTAGATGCTGCTAGCCTTGGCCTGTGGAGGACGGAGCAGTGGGCGAGGGCTCTGCATTGCAGCATCAAGGTTTGCTGGCCAATATTAACAGTGATGCAGAAGGTGTTCCAGAGCTCCATGAGTGCAGCTCAAGGAGCCCGAAACGAAGGCTGGGGCTTGACGCGTGGACGTCCTTGGCAGGTAAAGCCCTCGCAGATCACCTGGAATATGCTCATCGCCTCGGAGAACCGTTGGGCTGCCAGCTTCAGCAATCTCAGCAGCTTGGAATCGCTATAGCCGCTATGCAGCCCACACGTCAGGCTTGCAAGACTTCGGAAGGCTTTTTGCAGTAGTTGCCAACTGTGAGCTGTAGGTCCTTTTGCACAACAAGGAAAAGCGATCAGAGTTCCCCTGCTGCCTAGGGACACTTCATGGCTCTTACCTGCGCATCTCGGCCTTTTCCTTGGGTCCCTGTGCCGTGGTCGCGCCGTGGCACAGGGCACTGGAGCTCCTGTTCGCAGCCCAGGCAGACCTGCGGGAAGCTGTTCATTGGCTTGGTTGTAGCCGACGACAATAGTTAGGAGACCTTGCAAAACTCCGTTGCAATGCGACGTTTTGGACACTCGCAAGCTTCGCCTGGATTTCTAGATGTGCTCCGAGGGTGACAGCCTGCATCAGCCTTTGCATGTTAGTTGGTTACATCTGGTGCATCATAGTATCAGACTTACCCGTACGATTTTCGGAAGGCACAGCATCTGGGGTGGTTGACACAAGTTGACTCCACTGTGTCGTGAAATGGTGCCGGTTTCCTTAAGAAACTGGACAGATCCGGGGGATGCCAGCTCTGGGCTATGCAGCACAAATTACAATACTGCCGAGTCATCCTTTTGCTATTACTATGCAGCCTGGCGCATGCTGGACGACAGCTTATACAATTACTATATACAGTTGACACTCAACTGTCAAAGAGCCAAAGAATGCGCCAGGCATTGCGGGTGCGGCTGGACTCCTTGTGCTGGCAAGCAGGACGAGTCTGCACCATGCGCACGGACCTGCAGAGAGTGTGAATTCCAGGCCTTCGCTGTCCCATCCTGACGAGGAGTTATATCTTGCCGCGGCCAGTGGCAGCATGCAGCGCACGTGCTTTCCTTGCACTTAAGAAAGGCTGCATGAGGTTCAGGGGGCGGAGAGTTCTAAGTTCTAAGGTTTGGTTGGTCGGTTGTTGCGATGCACTGGCTTTCGCACGGCCACAGCGCACATCCCAGGGAACGTTTTCCGTTACGCGTTGCATGCCCACACTGAACGTTAGACCCTTTTAGTGATACCGCAGTGTTCGAGTAACAAAAGCCGGGCGGAAACTCGTGCTTGCACAGCATTTCGATGTAGTACTGTTGTGCTCGTCACCTTTTGAAATATACCTGGCCCTAACGAGATGGATCTGTCTTTAACATTTGCAGACGGCGAACAAGTCAAACAGAACCGAGTTTGCAGAACAGTCTTGTTCGCGTGACTACATGCCGGAGATCAGGCAATTGAACGAGACCCGGCGTGTGTGGGACGGCAGGTTATGCGTATGAACAAGTAAGCATCTATGCAGATGCACATGTTAGGTTATATATATATATAGATACACGTACGTACAAACACACACACATATATATATATATATTATGCTCTTTCTATCTTCCTGTTTATCTGTCTGTCTGTCTGTCTGTCTGTCTGTCTATCTACTGTACCTATCTACCTATCCACCTATCTACCTATCTATCTATCTAGCTACATTACTCTTTTGTTAGTACTCTTATGAATATCTATGTTTGTATTCCACGTGCAAAGACGCACGACCGGCACATCGCCCAGCCCAGGGAAGAGCAAATCCTGATTCCGGCTTGCTCGGGAAGTCAGGTGTATGCCAGAAAGCTGGAATTCCGAGCAAGTGCCGGTGATGCAGCAGCTGCACTTTGCCGGTCCTTTTCGCAAGGACCGCTTCTCCGTGCCTTGCGAGCCTTTCGGAGATGAGCTTGTTGCTGACAAGGCGAATATCCGGCTTGCAGTTATGTCCAGCCGTTTCGAGAGGAGTTGCGTGGGCAGCAGCCTTGCAGCTTACAGGTGGCATCCAAAGCTTGGTTGGCGTGAGCAGCGCAGCCAAAGCCTGCAGCAAGGCAACCTTCTGGAGCTCTACCCTCTTGGCCCTCTGGATGAAAAAGTTTGAGATGCACCACGACACATGACTAATGCACCGACGGCATAAGCCCCTGGCCTCGAAGTTACGACTGCAAGGTACTCAGCCACATTATGCACCTGCAGCTACTTGAAGAAGTCGAGACTGTTCCTCTCAGCTGTTTGCTGTGCCAGGGATACCCACCCTAATTTGCCTGCCCATGTCCCAGGCTTGAGCGTGATGCCGTGGCCGAAAATATTGCGCTCGAAGCGACGGTTCAGGGGTCCTGGTGCGAAGGTCTTCGGTCGCTTCGACGCTCTCAAGCGTGCCTTGGAGTGATACTTCCTGGGATCAGAATTTTCGCAGATTTTCAGGTGTTCACGAGGTTACGCAGATGTCTGAGCCTGGAAGGTTAAGGGGGCTCGGGTAGCAGACCGATACCAAATCGAATTCTGTTCCAGTTTAAGGGCATTTGGGGAGTTTCACCCTCCAGCTTCCAGTGTCGAATGTTGAAAGCCAAAGTCTCCCGAACAGCCCAGTGAGTTTGCCATTCGTTCACACTCCATTGTGTTGCAATGTCGCAGTGTCGGCACCCGGAGCCACAGGCGTTTCAAAGATGGATCCGCATGCTTCGTCCCAAGTTCACGGAAGCAACTTGGAATCGCACACAACACCTGCATCAGCGCCTGTGAGCAGTTCAGTGCCTGGGATGCGGCTTTGGAGTTTGCGCAAGGACTGCTAAGCGCAGGGGTGAACAACATGGTGAGTTATGCCCACCCATCGATGCATGCATTCCTTGTCAATTGTCCCTCAGACAATTACTGTTGATGCACAAATGTCAGCCACAA